CAACTTTCTTCAACACAATGTATTCCTTACATGAAAACTAAATATATACCCAGGTGTTTCACTTTGCTGATTTGGGATGTGTCAGTGATTTCAGTTTGTGGTCAGTCATGTGAAAATTCCTGTGTAACTTTGTTTTCCCAGTTTGCAAGGAAATTTAATATCTGTAAATTATGTTTGAGTTTTTTTGGAAAATGATTTGTTTGAAACAAACAGTAACTGCCAGAGAAGATTTAACATAATACTGTGATGATTATATGCAGATGTAGCTTGTTTGTGCTCCTTCCATTTGTCACCAATATGTTTTTAAAGATGCATAGTCAGACTATAAGTAAAGTTGAACTTGGAAACTAATTTCCAGTGTGTGTCAGAATTTAATGTAATTACCATTTAAAGGGGTTTTCTTCTTTGGATCAAAGATATACACTATACTGGTTTGCATTATTACTCACCTACTTGATACTCGTATTGGAAGCAGATGCGTCACCCATTCAAGGTCAAGCCATTGCCTGTTTTAGAATAGTAGAACATTTAAGTTGAAAATCAATCAGATAAAAACATCTGCAGAGAACTTTGTACTTGTTAAAACATTTTCAAAATCAAACATTTAATATCACAAATTGGTGCAATGTAACGTACAAACAAACCTGTACACATCTCATATACAGGACAATTTAAAGTGTTACACCTTAGATTGTACACCCCTTGAGGGATAGGGACTGATGTGAATGTACAATATATATGTAACGCGCTGTGTAAATTGACGGCGCTATGTAAGTACCTGTAATAATACTAAACCCACAACAGTAAAATCAGTCTGTATATGTAGTAAAGCATGCTTGTTGTACTCACTGTGGAACCTAAGGGGCTAACCCTTTGCATTGTGTAAAAAGGCTGTTTGATCCTTTCTTCTCTGCCCCTCCTCTTGTTGAAATGACCACCTGGTACAGACTGAACCCGTAGTCAGGGCAGCTATTAGAAAAAATGGGGCCCCATACAGCTAACCTGACAGGGCCCTTCCCAAAAGAAACACAGTTTACTATGCTTTGGTTTATGAATGAATACAGTGAGCACTTGGTACCGATCACTCTAGTGTTCATTCAGGAAAGGAAGGGCCTGGTAAATGTGACATATTTACTAGACCCTTTCCCCACTCTCCATCCAGAAGGATCCTATTGAGTGCTTGCTGCTGCCAGTGGGAAGGAGAGGAGGAAAGCTGACAGCACTGCAGGGGTGGGGGCACATGGGCAGCCGGGGGGGGGCAGCCATTCATCAGTTCCAGTAAGTGCCTCCCCCCGCTATGCTGATCAGTTTCCCTGCATAGATCTGATTCACCCAGCTGCCTAGGCCCCCCTGCTGGCCTGGTCCCCATACAGGAGGACTGGTGGTACCCCATTTTTCACAGCCAGGGGTGGACTGACAACTCATGGGGCCCCCGGGCAATAGGGGATCATGGGGCCCCTGTGTCCTTGCCCAAACTCAAAAAAGCCTATGAAAAAGGTACCAGGGGCATCTCATGGGGCCCCTTACTGACCCTGGGCCCTCACGCAGCGCCCAACTTTCCAAATGGTCAGTCTGCCCTTGTCCACAGCCCTGCCCATGGTCACTTGCACATCCTCAGTTTTTTGTGTATTGCTAGAGAGGTTTTTTTTTTCTTGGGAGGGTGCATGTGATCAGCACAGGGCCAATCAGCACAGAGGGTCAGATGTTTCACATCCTCCTAGAGCAGAAAGAAAACTCCTCCTACAAGCTTTAACCAGTGCTCTGCTGAAGTCACAAGACTGCTCTAACTGCTGATGAGTAAAGGTATTTAGCAGTTTATATTTACTAAAATAATTGTATTTCCATGTTGTGTGTACTGTGGGAGACCAGATATAGTGAATTCAGGGTCCTGGAGTTAGTATCACTTTAATAGTCACTCACTAATGCCCGAGAGCAGGCGGGACCACCTCAACATTGAAGCAGCAGCAGTATTTAGAAGTGAGCCATTCACTTGGTCAGATGTACATAAAATTTGAGGATTCATAATGTGAAACACTCTATCCCAGGACACTGCACACCTTCACTCCCACAATGTAGCATTTAAAGGGGGACACCATTGAGCCTATGTCCCACTCCACCAGTTCAACTCTCCTCTGCCACCTTTCTCCCAGTGACAGAATAGGGGTCCCTTCGTACATTAAGCGGGGCCCTTTATGTGTGCACAAATGAACTCCTTCAGCTTTCCCGAACCTGCGGCTAGGTACATGGGGTTGATGTACTGCCTGTTCAGTCCTGAATGCTGTTGGAATCCAACCACTAGGGAGGGAGTCAGGGCACCGACCCCCTAGCTAACCTGAGGACCCGTCATCCATGCCTGGTATCAGTCTGCTCTGGCTGCTGTTACATTCCCACCAGTTATCCATGGCAGCTGCACATTTCCTGTCAACTCCTCTGCTGAGTAAATCTTAGGTGGTGGCCCTCCAGCTCCTCCTCTTCACCCCCCATGTGTACTTAACAGGCCCTTTCATTTTGAATTTTGGATACACCATATACCTTCATGCAGCCCTTTAAATAATTTGGCATGAAGCAGTTAACAGCAACTTAGTAAAGACTTGCAGCAGTACGTATGTACAGTATGTACAGCAGTATGAATTTCATCTATGTATTTAACTGTTGCCTGGATTTAAGAGTTTAAAGCGGAGTTCCTGCTGAAAAAAAATAAAAAAATAAAAGTCAGCAGCTACAAAAACTGTAGCTGCTGACTTTTAAAATAGACACTTACCTGTCCCTCGATCCTGCAGTGTCCTCACCACCACTGGTTTCACCGGCCGTCTTCTCTCCCTGGTGCAGGCATCTTCAGTGTGGGCACCTGGCTGTGACAGCTTGCGGCTTTACAGCTGGGTACCCACTGTGCATGTGTGAGAAGCTCTGCACTTTGTGAATGGCCCTGTAGTCTTCTGGGACCTGTCATGTGTCCCAGAAGACTACGGGGAGAGAGGGGGGGGGGGAGTACAAATTCCTCTTCCGATCGCCTGGGCGATCGCAGCAGAAGTGGGAGCGGGTATCTCGGGTACCTGCTTCCCCCCGCTCCCCAAAGGTGCCAATCCTTTTTGGGGTGTGGGGGACAATGGCTTAAAGCAGAATTGCCCCTTTTGGGTGGAGCTCCGCTTTAAGGTTTAGGCAGTGGGAAGGTTAAAGCTGTTTATACACTTTGAGCTTTTGTTTTCAATCAGTGGGTTGAACGAACAAAACTCACAGAATCCTGCATCCACACAAGTGATGTAAATACAGGGATCTCCCCTGCTGCACTATGGTATTCTGAAAGTGATGACCCCCCCCTCCCCCTTCTCATCAGAATACACTGATCGAATGATGGCTGTCCAGCAGGACCATTCAAGGAACCGGTCTCTGTTGAACAGAGAGGAGTACACATGGATCTAATTTAGATACAGTATCTGTATATACAGTTTAAGAGCTAGTGCTGAATCAGTGTTCAGGACAATTGACAACATAGGGACAGTTAGGGGAGCTGTAGCTATCCTAAAAACTAGTAGCACCAAAAGTTATTGGTTGGCCATAAAGGAGAGCAGCTGTGTTCAAGTTTGTATAAATCTACCTGGCAAAAAAAAAAATGTCTCAAAATTACCCTTGTCTTACCAGCCTAAAACAGGATCAAGGTGGACAGACATAGTTGTAGCTGAAGCAATGATATATAGGAGCAGTGAGGAGTGGATCAATTCAGTGCTAGCCACAGTTCAAAGTCACTTTTATCTTCCAATGACCTGATAATGATTTTCAGCACATTTTTCTAAGATTTCAGTTCACATTCTTCTATGTCCATTTACAAAACACTCTTCCCCTTGCTAAGGGTAGCAGCCCTATTGTTTCCTTGCTCCACTGTTAGATGACTGTGGCTGTATGCATATGTCATTGCAGAACTATCTCTATTAACCACTTGCCCTCCTGAGGATTTACCCCCCCCTTCCTGACCAGGCCATTTTTGTGCCATACAGCGCTGCGTTATTTTAGCTGACAATTGCGCGGGTCATGTAATTCTGCACCCAAATTAAATTTATGTCGTTTTTTTCCCCACAAGTAGAGATTTCTTTTGGTGGTATTTGATCGCCTGTGCATTTTTTATTTTTTGCGCTATAAACAAACAAAGAACGACAATTTTGAGGAAAAAACTATATTTTTCACTTTTTGCTATTAAACACGTCCAGTAAAAAAAAATTTAAAAATCACATTTCGTCATAAATTTAGTCCAAAATGTATTCTGCTCCATGTCTTCCCAATACGTGTACATTCATTGGTTTACGTGAAAGTTATAGCGTTTACAAATGGCAGTATATATACTGGATTTTTTTTTTACTTGTAATGGCGGTGGTTAGTGACTTATAGTGGGACTGCAGGACTGCGGTGGGCTTTCTGACACTGGGGGGAACTAACTTGGTGTCACTGACATCCCCAGTGACACCAATACGGTGATCACTTCTAATATAAAGCACTGACACTGTACTAATGGCACTGGGCAGGAAGGGGTTAACATGTGGGTCGATCAAAGGGTTAACTGTGTCACAGTATGCTGTGTGAGTGCTTTCCACTGTAAACACACTGCTTTGTATGGCTCTGCTATGCAGGAGCTGACGAGTAATCACCCTGTGATTGACAGCCGAGGCCATGAATGGTGGCGCCCCCTACCTGGATCGGCAAACTCACATATGTGATTTTTCACACCCGTGCTGCCCTGTAGCAGTATGGAAGCAGTTAATACGTGTAGGTTTTATGTTTAGATTTGTGGGTTGGGTTTAAATAAATGGGTTTAAATAAATCCACCCCTATTAAACCAATTTATTTAGACCCATTATTGTTATAGTGCATGTATAGCCAAAACCTTTTTTTGTTATAGTTGTGGATAGAGCATGGAAGTGAAGGAACCCCTGCCTAGTATTTATTGCTGTCTGTACCTCCTCTAGATATATCCACCCTCCCTATTTTTTCTGGTGACTGTTGTCGCTGAGACAGGCAGTGGTGGGAAATCCAAAATGTTGATTGTCAACAGAAAAAGAGGTGAGGACAATCTTCCAACGGTAACACCTGTTTCAGTGACAACTGAGAGAGGAATTACCCTTGACTTTGGAGATTTACTTCCACATCCTGTTACATCTCAGCAAAAAAAAAAAGAAAAACTTGCAGTGTGGGAAACGCACATGGAAACGTGTTTCGCTCACAGCACGTGAATGCACTGCCCTCTGTTAGATGAGCACAGAGTATCATTAATTGTTAATGGCACCCAAATGCATCTAACAAAACTCATGTGTTTGTGGCCACCATGGTGGTACCATGTGGTTTGGAGTAGCAATTATTTTATTGTTGTACTTGCTGCACTTTTTGCACATTCCCACATGTTTGGCAGCACATTAAAATGAATAGGCTGTCAAAAACTGAACATGTGGGAAAATGCAAAAACTTTCACATTCTGTTGTGAACCAGCCCTAACCCTTCCCTAATTTAACCAAATCCAAAATAGTTTTAGCTATAGATACACATTAACTCTTTTGCTTCATCTGGAGATCCAAAAATAATATTTATAGATAGTTTGTATAGGTCTGTAGAAATTCAAAATACAGGTTAACCTTTCCGCTTCATCTAGTGATTTGCAAATATTAGTTTCTACAGGTCTATAGAGATAGCAAATAACAGCATAAGAAAATTAAGGTGAAGGAAACCTTCCACTGGGGACACTTGTTCGGGTGAGAGCTTATTAAAGGCTCAAGGTTGTAAAGACTCAAGGTTTTTTACCTTCATACATTCTATCCATGAAGGTAAAAAACCTTCTGTGTGTAGTAGTCCTCCAAGCCCCCCCTAATACTTACCTGGGCCCCATCTCAGTTCATTGAGGTGCACGAGAGCAGCAGCTCTCCAGGGACTCTTCCTCATCTTTGACTGAGACAGAAGCAGGAGCCAACTATCAATCACAGCCAGTGAGCCAATGAGGAGAGAGTGGGGGTGGGCCAAGCCATGCTCCAAGTGTGAATGTACACACAGAGCAGCAACTCAGGAGAGAGCCTGCTCGGGTGCCCCCATAGCAATTTGCTTGCTATGGAGGCACTCAACAGGAGGGAGGGGCCAGGAGCACCAGCAGGGGACTCAAGAAGAAGAAGATCACCTGCTATGTGCAAAACCACTGCACAGAGCTGGTAATTATGACATGTTTTTTTCTTTTTTTATCTGCCTTTAATATCACTGTAAGAGGGGAATTTCCTTAACTTTGGGGAATTTCCTCCCACTTCCTGTTGCATTTCCGCAAAAATTTCTGAAAGGCAGTTTGACCTGGCCATACTTTTACCAAAACTAAAAATGTTTTACTGTAGCTATAGATACACATCAACTCTTTCATCTGGTGATCCAAAATATTATTAATACTCTGTCTATAGAGACTGAAAAAAAACCCTGCATAAGCAAAATGTTTGACCTTAAACAACTTTTTCATTCATTGATGTCTCTGAATGAAGTTGAGAGGTTTGCATGACATCATGACATATGGCTATACTCTTGTAGAATTTTATAATATGCCTACACAGCTCTCTGTGTAGCAAAACTTCAACAACAAAAGGAAATTGCCCCATTATACAGTCATTTTACAGGGGCTCATTGCTGCTTTATCAGCCATTCTGTTTTCTTTCAGCTTTTATTATGGTCCCGATGAACAATGCCTTATTTTCTTCTGCCACAATAATATCTTGCCCCAGATTTTTTTAATTAGTATAAATCCCTCTTGTAAATCTGTTTGTCCTGTGATAATAGGGTTGACATGCCTTCTTGGTTACGTAATGCAACCTGTAACCTACAGAAGTTTGTTTGACAACTGACGCTGAAAGCTTTCTTTGACTAGATGACTGAATGGATAGAAGCTTACATACACTTTAAACTGGATGTCTCAAGAAAGAAAAAAATAAATTAGGAAAATAGTTTTTTTTTCTAGTTCTAAAAAGGTATTGTAAAAAAATACATATTTCCTTATCTCTACAACCTCCTATGTTCACAAATGTTTTAATCCATGTAGAAAGACCATAAACTAGCTTTTTTCGATCTTCAATTTTCCTTTTAAAAATGAATTTATTATTTAGGAAATGTTTATAATTAGCAGTATCTAGAGGGGGGTAGGTAGACTGAGGATGAAGTACAGCTATAGGTTCCTGTATGACGGGCCAAGCAAGTAACAAATCCAGGTACTATGTGATGCACAAAGTTAGAATAAAACCTCCTTTACATTACCTGATTGAGACAAATCCTCCTCGTTTGTTGTTATCATGCCTCCCCTCCAAGTGCAGCTCACGGTAGAAGGGTTTCAGCAGTATAATCAGTTCTGCCAAATAGAAAGCGGTGGACAGGAGTATGTGTGACCAGGTGCTGATTGATAAGCTACAGACTTGTGAAGCAGCAGTGATAATGATGATAGCCCTGCCCCAAGCAACATCTTCTCATCCCCATTGTAGTTAAAGTTGTATGACACATTCATCATTCTGTAAAATGTGCTTTTTCGAGACAAGACTGCCTGTTCAACACCTGTCTTTTCTTAGAAGAGTTTGGCTGGTTATACCATCCACATATTTTAAGGTCTGGCAGCTCATGTTTCAACATTAATTTCAGAGAAAGGTGTGCACCATCCAGCCAAAATCTGTCATTTTTAATAAAAGTGAATGCACCTGTGCTTTCTTTAAGTCGTAAAATATTCAGCCAGATTCATGTATGTTTACTTACTGTTGAACATGTATTCACAGTTTGAACTAGTTGTGTGCTTTAACAGGTAATAACAAAGGGCTCTTTTTTATATAAAAGCATACTTTTTGTTTTGACTGCTTTAAAATATATATATATTTTTATTACAAATTATTTTTCAGTTGGGAGCAAATATTAAAGCAATAGTGTTTTATGATGAATTAAAATATGTTTAGGACTTTTTCTTTCAGGTATAGCTTTTGAGTAACACCCAACTTTATTTTGATAATAGCCTTAATTCCAAAGTCTAAATAATATGTTCTTTAACAGCACAAAACTATTACCTAAAGTAAAGCAAGGTGAGATTTCTGTTGAATTCCATCTCCAGAACATCTTATGTACAGGTCCATCTAGTAGTAGTTACTGGGTCTAGTATAAAGGCATGTATATCTCCATCCTTAGATACTTTAAAAAAAATTCAAAAACTATTGCCCTTGGTACTTTTCTTTTGAGGCAATCGAAGACAGAAATTATATAAAATTTAAAACTTTATTAAGGCAAATAAAAAATATAATAAATTAAAAACAGAATAATGCACCAGCATCTCCTACGGAGATGCCTCAGGCTCTTTTCCCCCTGTCTGGACAGCCCCATTTGTGGTCATCATGTAGTGTTGAGAAGATTGTTTGTTTGTTTGTTTGTTTGTTTTTATTAATCCTGCCTGATAAGAAGAGATAAACCCTGTCACTAACACTAAACTCCTAATTAAGTATGCTTCAGGAAACACGTTAAGATTTACAATGTACTTCATTTTTGGTTCTGATTGGCTGATACATTTTCGTATGAAGAATCTTTCCAACTTTGTATTTATGTATGGAAAACTCCTGGCACATTTTTCTGTTTAAAATTTTTTCTATTTTTATATGCTTTAATATAGTTGCTGATTTTTATATTGTATATTTCTGTATTCGATTACCTTCAAAAAAGTCCCATGGGCAAATGTTTTTTACTTTTCTGGGAGCAAGAATATGTGACACCAAATGATCTGGGATCACTGTTCCATGTTTGAGATGTGCTTACGAAATTGTTCACCATTGACGGTTAGATGTTTAAGGAAAAGTAAGAGCATAACAAATAAACTTTCCCTAACAAGTTATATTTCATAGCTTGGTTAGTGTTCAAAAGATCATTCAATATTTGATAGATATTTGCTTTATGATTTTATGCAGACATTTGTGATTGATCACTATGCAGTTTATGCTAGGGAATGTTTAAAACCCGGTTCATTTTTTTTATCATATGTGTCCCTTTTAGTATTTGTCCTAAAACCAGTATGTTACATAAGAGGAAAAATTTCAAAGAAAGGAAGATACCCACTTCAATAGTTGTCACCATTGACACAGTTGAGAGATGACCGTCTTGGCAAATCTCACTTCTATGTTTTCCTCTTATGATGGCAATGCAAAATTTTTTATTGACCCTGAAAGTGGTCACCAGCATATATAGGGGCTACATTATTGAAGTCATCGCCCCTCACACTGAAATTTTGCCATGGCATAAATCTGCATAGACTGTCATTATTTTTCAAAACACCCAATTTAAGAACTAGAAGGGAATGTATATGAGACATTTGAAGGTCTGCCAGCTATGCAACGGCAAGCTAAATTTAAAAAATAGAATAACGGAATAGTGTGAAGTTATTATCACAAACTTTATAACTATGTAATGTTCAAGTTAGCCTACATTGCAAAAGTGCAAAATACAATAACAAAAGTGATGACAACTTAAGAAACTCAACCAGACCTAAAACTATGTTTGCAGAAAAGGGAGAGGCTCTGCTCAGGCTTAGAAGATGGCTAACGTAATTGTGCAGGCTTTTTGGATTGATCTTGAAGAGTAAGCAGATTTCCTCGTTCAATTCTCATGATAGAGAAGAGACCACAATAGAAACCTGAAAGGGATTTTAGACCTTGCCTACTCTATTCAAAACGAAAAAAAAGTTATGGCTGTAGATAAACTTTACCTAACATCAAGTTTGTTGTCTTTAAGAATTCTCTTATTGAAGGACCTTCAATGATACATGATATCTTTAGCATAACCAATCCTTTTGATTTTAATCCTCAAACACATGAATCCAATTTATCTAGAACAGACAGGCTGCATGCCTTAATGCATTAAAAAACACAGCACACCACAATGGGTGTCATGACCTACTTGGAGTGATACAAAAAGTGAAAAGTATTTAAAGAACTGCTACTGTGCTTTGTTAATTCCACAAAGACAAAACTATATACTAACACCTATGCTTACATGCATACATTTACATACAGTGGGGCAAAAAAGTATTTAGTCAGCCACCAATTGTGCAAGTTCTCCCACTTAAAAAGATGAGAGAGGCCTGTAATTGGCATCATAGGTAGACCTCAACTATGAGAGACAAAATGAGAAACAAAATCCAGACAATCAC